GGCTTATCTTGTGTTGGTAAAAAATGTTTTACTGTGTTTCCATGAAAGTATTCTTTTATTCTTTTTTTTTTTTTTTTTTGAAATAATAAACTGTTACTATGGTTTATTATTTTAATCAAATCAAACAAATGGACTTAATTATAATCACAGCAAATGAACCGCATCAACTAAATGAAGTCAACATTATGACACTTGGTGTTTTGACAGTGTTTAGTGTATGTTGTCATTTAGAAAAAGGCACATGGCTCAGATTGGATGGGCTGATACGGTTTCTCTTCGTGGTGATTCTTTGTCCCGTTTGCAATGTTTATTGTTGTTGAAAAATGACATTTTGCTTTTTCCCTAAAGTTCCTGTATTTAATTCAGCTTCCCAATTCTCTCTGCCACTCTGTGTACACTTGCTGTCTTAGGAGTGTCTGCCCCCCCTTTTCTTCTTTCACATAATAGCCTAGTCTTTTCTTGCAAGGGATTGGTTCAAAATATAGTTCCACTCCTGCCTCCATAGATTCTCAGTAGCGCAGGAATGACTTTCGGCTGAAAATGCGGCTCTCCCTGCTTCCCCCGACATTTTCCACATTTTTCTTTTACCAGAAATTGACAACAATTAAATTCTGATAAGTTGCTTTTTTTTATATTTTCCCTCTGATGAAAAATAACATTTGGAGGTAAGTACCAAGTGCTAATGGTGGTGTTGTCAGAACACCCCACCTTGTTTTCACTAATTTGGTATAGCCTAGGTCCAGTGGTTTGCTGAATAATTATTAAGCATCTTATTTTTAGTCAGTCTCCTCTACTATGTCAAATATATCAACAGTGTGGCAGTATTTGTCAAAAATAGATAATGGAAAAAAAGTCAAATTAAAAATTTGCATATAACAGCTCGAATGCAAACTTGACATATCACCTAAAAAAATGGTAAGATCTTTTTTTTTTTTGCACCAGGTTGCTCCGTCCCTTTTGATTATGTTATATAACATATCTCTAGAATTGCGTATTTTTAAAATGGCAGATGCACCCACCTGCTACAATGACAGCATCCCATAGATACACTCAGGCCAGGGTGTTAAGCCTCTATCATCCAAATGCCAAAACGACATCACAGAAGAAGTTGTACATTTTATTGCTCAGGATATAAAGTCCATCTGTGTTGTAGAGAGCCAAAGTTTAAGAACTTGGCAAAGTTTTGGAACCTGGATATACAGTGCCAGCACCCGGGACAGCAATGCATGTGCTATATGGGGGACTAAAAGAGAAAGTTTTAAAGTTAATACAACACAGCAAGGCACTGATGTGGACCACAGATATCTGAAACCAAAGGAAAAGAGAGCGGAGTTACTACAAACGTTCATTTCTAAGCCACTCTACCTAGAAGGCCTGCGTCCCGGAGTCGCCTCTTCACTGTAAATGTTGTTGACCTGTTAAGATGTTTTTGATCAAAATCACTTTTGATTCTAGTGAGTATTACATTACATTGTATAACATTACATTTAGCAGACACTTGTATCCAAAGCGACTAACAAACTAACAATCAAGCTACTAACACAGCAGGTCATAGAGTAAGAAGAAGGTGCATGTTAGATGTAAATGGGTTTGAACAAATGGTTAATGTTTGAACAAACATTACAATGATAGCAATGTTTTGTTTTAAGTAAGATTCAAATAATTTGAATCAAATAGTAAGATTCAAACAATTTGAATAATCAATAAGCTAATAATTTAAGCTAATGTCATTTGCATCAACTATTTAGAAAAATCAGAAATCATTTTGCCTAATAATTTGGAACTTGGCGTATAGCTAGTGTATACCCCTAAGGAGCATCATGTATTACTTTGTTTAACTGGAATCAATATGATTGTAAGTTCAGCCACACTTCCCTGTTTTGTGCACTGGTGCACAGTCATCTTGGAACAGAAAGGGGCCATCCTCAAACTGTTCTCACAAAATAAAGGAGCGTGGAAGTGTCCAAAATGTCTTGGTACGCTAAAGCATTTACAGTTCCCTTCATTGGAATTAAGGGCCAAGCCCAGCTCCTAAAAACAGCAGGAAACCGTAATCACCCTTCCACAAAACGTCACGCTTACAGTCCATCAAATTACCACGTGGCAATGTGATTCGTCAAGTCAAAGGAAAGCATCCCCAAAAGCATCCATTGGTGGCATTGAACTTGTATCATGATGTATCATTTGGATGCAGCAGCTCAACCCCTCTCCGTTAAGCTCGCTACACATATTTTTTGTTCTTGAGCTAATCTGAAAGCCACGTTAAATATTTTGGGTTTGGAAATCTGTAGCGATTGAGACTGCAGAAAGTTGGTGACCTCTGTGTACTATGAGCCTCAGCACCCACTGATGCTGACTTCATCTTTTTACATGGCCTACCACTTTGTAACATTCTTAATCACTTCCACTTTGATATAATAACACCGAGAGGTGACTGTAAAATATTTCACAATGGGACTTGTACAGGTGGTATCACCGTGCAACCCATTCTTTCACAAATGTTTGTAGGCGCAGCATGTCCAGGTGCTTGTTTTTATATATCTGCTGGCATGGAAGTGACTGGAACACCTGTTTCAGTTATCTTGATGGATGAGCGAACACTTTTGGCAATATTGTGTACCTGCAATCACGTGCAGAAACGTGGAATTTATATAACCGTTTCAAGATTTATCACATTAAATCCCCAAACTCAAAAAAGAGGTTATCATTTTTCTAATACACAATTGTTAACTGATACAAAATATAATTCAAAATGGACTATAGCAAAACATTATACACGTAAGTCTTTCAAATACCTTTACATTTACACATATTGGCACATATGAATACAAATGTGCATTTTTAGAAGAGTAATGTGTTGTTTTTCTTAAATATTTGTGGCAGCCATCAGATGTAAGAAAACTCCATTCTGCGCTGCATTAGGCACATCACCCTAATTCAGCACACTCACAAAGGCTTTGCAACTGCAAAAAGGAATTTTTCACCTCTGAAAGATTGTATTCATTTATATTAAAAAAGATCAGAATTCTTTAAATCACACAAACGGATAATCCCACTTTCAATCATTCTTCTGCGGCTTCTGTTCTTCACTTCTTATTTTTACACTTTTTTCCTAGGTACTTTCCAAACCACTTTTGTGTTCGAAAAATTGTTAGGTACTTCTCCCCTTTCTTGATCTGTGCTTGAACTTCTGGATGCGTCGAGACATGCTGTAACATGTCCCCTTGGGACATGCGTAGACATGTCATATTATTTTATATCTGCGTACTATGTTTTAAGCTGAATAAGAAATTCTCCTTTTCTTTCTTTTCTACTAAATACTTATGCCCAGTATGATATACTCAGTTGTGATTTTATAGATACTGTACTCAACCATTATTGACAATTGGCTAAAAGAAGCAAGAATCAAAACTCGTGTAACCTGAAAACATTCAATTTTAAAGAACAACAATTCAAACCTGTGGCGCTTTGGCCCAGCGGCAATGTCTCTGTCCTTGGTGTGGAACTCCAGGCTCCAGGATAAAAAAAGGATGGATGTATGAATAATTCAAACTTTGTTTTCATTTCAGGGTAAAATTCCTGGGATTGGTTTTTTGAAGATTCATGCTACGTGGAACACTTTATGTCGAGAGGCTGAATTTATGAAGCTAAAGATGCCAACAAAAATGGTACGTTGTGTATTTTTTTTAATTTAGCACCATTTGTCAATCAAATACTGATTCATACACAGTGAAGCTAATGTTCAAACGTGTTCTGAAAATATTTTATGAGTGATGAAGCTCGTCAATCATGAGAGTAATGTTAATGGTTTTTGTAAAAAAAAAAAAAAGGTTGGCTAAAAATACAGAGAACATAATGTGCTGAAAGATTGTAAAAGGTGGAGGTGGTGGTGTAAAAGCAAAGCCTACGTATATCAAGCCCTGTCTTAGAATACACAAATGGGCTAGTAACTGTAGATAGCTGTTGGTAACTGTAGATACCACTACCATTGAGGCAGGTCTTTAAATGAATGGAAAAACAGAAATGTTGATATAAGATGTTTACACAGCTTTTTGTAATATAAAAAAAAATTGAGACCAAGATAAGTCTTTTCAAAACTTTTCCTCCGGTAATGTAACCTATAACCTTTACAACTCAATTGAAATGTAGTAAAAAAAAATCTTTTAAGAGAGGGGAAAATAAAAATTAAGAACTGAGATATTGTGGTTACGTATGTCTACACACCCTCTTATAACTGGATTTTGCTTCTTTTCAAAAAAATCCAATCACATTCAAACTCATGTTAAATAGATCAGCCCGTACCTGCATCATTTACAGTGCCTCGATTTAACCCCAAGTGTGAGGTGTTCTAGTAGGCTGTTTTTGAACATTTCTGTAGTCACATCTTACAGCACAAGCCATGGTCCACAGAACGCTTCTACAGCATCAGAGGGATCTCATTGTATATTGTATAAACATGTCAGTTAGGAGAAGGGGACAAAGGAATTTCCATATAAATATGTCATTTAGGAGAAGGGGACAAAGGAATTTCCAAGGCATTAAATATACCATGAAACACAGTAAAGACAGTCATCTTCAACTGGAGAAAATATGGCACAATAGTGACATTACCAAGAACTGGACTCCAAAATTGATGAAAAAAGACAAGAAGAAAAATGCCATCGGCTGGCTGTTTAGTACATGTGATAACAATCTCCTGTCTGCTTCTTGTGTCTGCATTATAGGCTAGGGTGGCAAGATGATGGATCTTATCCCTACATCCACTCCACACAACAGCTCGGCCCATCAACCTGAAACTCATCCGGAAAACACAAGAGTCACAGGAGTCGGGGCATCCAAACATCCAAAGTGACTAGGATGATTCACAAGAGAAATACAATAGACACTGTATTACCAAAAGTATTGGCTCACCTGCCTTGACTCATACTATGAACTGAAGTGCCATCCCATTCCTAACCCAGAGTTCAATATGATGTCGGTCCACCTTTTGCAGCTATTACAGCTTCAACTCTTCTGGGAAGACTGTCCACAAGGTTGAGGAGAGTGTTTATAGGAATTTTTGACCATTCTTCCAAAAGCGCATTGGTGAGGTCACACACTGATGTTGGTGGAGAAGGCCTGGCTCTCAGTCTCCGCTCTATTTCATCCCAGAGGTGTTCTATCAGGTTCAGGTCGGAGTCAAGGCAGGTGAGCCAATACTTTTGGTAATATAGTGTATGTTTAGGCGCAAACACAACACTGCTCATCACCAAAAGAACAACCCATAGTGAAGCGTGGTGGTGGTGGTGGTGGTGGCCTCATGCTATGTGGCTGTTTTTCTTATGCTGGAACTGGGGCCATAGTCAAGGTGGGGAGAATAAACGGCTCTAAATACCAGTCTGTGTTAGCACAAACTCTTTCTGCTTTTGCTATAAAAGCTGACGATGAAGAGGATCTTCATTTTTCAGGATGATATTGACCCTAAGTACACATCCAATTTAACAAAAGAAGGGCTTCACCAGAAGACGATTAAGGTTTTTTTTTTCAGACCTGAATCCGATCAAACATCTGTTGGGAAATCTGAAGAGGGCTGTGCACAGAAAATGTCAGGATGACCCAAAAAATTGAGTGCTGTAACAAATGCAAAGGTGCTGCTACAAAATATAACTTTGATCGTGTGTATATTTATGTTACCAGGTTATAACAAAATCGTTATTCTCATTAGTAATTAGTAAAACTTTTCCCACAAACTCCGTTCACTCCGCAGTTTTAAGAACTTTTTAAAATAAATACTTTTTAAATTGTAAAAATTATAAATGATAAAATGTACAAATTATACAATAACTTAAAAAAATGAATCATATACATACACACACAGACACACACACATATATATATATATACATGAGGGATATAGTGATCCCTCTCTTATGGTTGCGTTCCAAGACCCACTGCGAAAAGGGAAAATCCGCAAAGTAGAGGCGAGGCTGGGCACAGCAGAAGAGCGCACATTATTGGAAAGAAAAATGAAGGCTGGTAACTGTCATCTGTGTCAGCGTCTTTGTTTGGGCTTATTGACAGAAGTCTGAGAAGATGCAGGGCATTTGTGATGCTGGCATTGTTGGACGGTAAATTAGGGCAAACGTTCTCCAAACACAAGCGCACAAACTTTACAGCAACGTAATGTAGTAGAAGTTTAAAATATTACAAAACTCGAGATTGGAATAAAAACTGAGTGAGTGAAGGGAGAAACGCGATATAGAAAGGGAACTCTCTCTCTCTATATATATATATATACACACAGTGTATAGTTTACGGGTATAGGAGGGGAGTAAGGAGTTGTGGTGAGAATAAAGACGGCTACAAGAGTGTGGATGAGAGCAGAAAAGAGATGAGAAAGGCCATAGAGAAGCTGGTATTCAAAACATTAATAACAAGTTTAGAGTGAGGTTCCTAAAAAGCATCAGGCCATCTGTCTGATCCCTCGCTGCAGAGCAGAGCAGATGCTCACTTTCAGCATGTAGCGGTAGATAAGATCGTTAGATAAAACATTAGCCAATTAACAATCTTGCAAAATTAGAGGAAATTGGCACCGATCGATCGTTCGTCTGAACGCTGTCGCTTACTGCTGCAGCTCTCAGAAACTGGAGAAGAGATTTGACCAAAAATTTGCAAAATTCCACCACAAAACAGTCATACAGTACATTCTAGTAAATGCTATTTTGTACACAAGGTCAACAAGTTGGACAAAAGGTGGACAGGCAAAATGATGAAGCAGTGTTGTTACCTGGTGACCTGATTTAAGCCAGAAGTAGCATTAGCTCTATGTTTTGCCAAACGGATAAGACAGTACTTTATTTATCCATGAAAGGAAATGATTCAGTCAACACAGCAGAAAGGTGAAGAGAAGAGTTCATCCATGTTTCTGTGAAACACCAAGTATTACCCAGTATTCCCTCTAATGTTGTGTCAATTCTGTTAACATTTAATATAACAACGGACATGAGGACAAGTCAGGCGCTGCTCAATGGCTCAGCTCTCCCATCTTCTCCTCAGCTCCCAGGGGAAACTTCCGTTTCTCATGGGGCGACTTCCTTAATGTGCCACTGGTGAAATCCAGTATAAATGCACGGTAAATCCCAACTGTGAACCTTTTTTTGTGCTGCACCTCCCTCAGGGCTACTTGGTACAAAACATAGACTGGCCATGAACTACTACTCCCTGATAAAAGAAACATGTTTCTGCTGTTATATCAGAAATTCTTTATTTCATTATTGGATTTTGCGCAACAATGTAACAAATCACGATTAATCACAAGGGAGCAATGTGATTAATCGCAATGAATACTTTTAATCGACATATCTGAAATCAAATTTCGCATTGCCGCGTGCAGCATACAAATACGTCATCAGGCAGTGCTATACGGGGAGGACGGCTTTATTCACATTTGCTGGTCGTATACACCGTACATTGGATTCATACATTACTATTAGTGATCTCCTTTAACTAAGCCTCCTCTACTCAGAATGTAAACATCACCTTTTCTCTCTCCAGGTGTATGAAGTGAAACAAGGCAGTAACGTTGTGGAGAAGATCCGACTGCTGCTTCACAAAGTCACAACTCCACTTCACCCAAAGGTTGATGCCCTTCAGTCACCAACTCTCAAGTCCCTCTCTTATCCATTCTCTAAGGAGAAGCTGCATTTGTGAGTGCTGATCCTTGCTGACCTTTGACCCTTGCACGCATCAATGTGTGGTAACTTACATTAATGCTTACTTAACAAGCTGTGACGAGTACTTAATAGTTATGTTTTAAAGGACATGCAAACCAATTTAACACACATTAGTAATGACACTAATTCAATACTTTCCTAAAAGAAACAGCAAGCCCAAGGAAAACTTTCCTAAAATACAAAATTCTTTTGCATTGTTGTTGTCTTTGACTTTTTGACTTTTGACTTTTGACCTCCTTTTTTTTCCTCATTATTGTAGTAACAGCAACCATCGCCATGTCTTTCTTTACAACAGTCATGATGTGTTTCATGCCGACTTTAGTGGTAGATTTTGATGCTACTTTTTTAATGTCCACTAGAAACAGAAATATCTGTGTCCACGTCATTGACTCGGTCTGATGGCCTTTAGAAAGAAGCTTCTCTTAAGTTTCTTTGAGTGGGTCACCTAAAGGGAAGTAAACTAATTGTCATTGTGGCACAACACACAAAGAAATGTGACCTCAGCTTTGAGCGCTCGGTGAGCAGTGTGGGACGATACCATGCTCAGAGCACGTCAGTGGTAATTTGGGAGCTGGTGGGTTTGAACCTAAAGCCTGAAGCCTTCCGGACCCAAGCCCATTTAACTAACCACTAAGCCGCCACTGCTCTAAACAGTCCTTTGCTGGGGTACAGAATATCCCTGATTATCTTCCTGCCTCTGGTCAAGCAACGCCTGGTGTAAAAGTCATGCAGGTCAGGTGGGAAACACTGACCTGCTGATCCGTTCTGCACACCGACCACGTCAACCCGTGTAAAGCCTTTTTGCCCATGCCCAGTGCAGTTGACATACTAGGCAGTGGTGCTCCCAGAGATCACGGGCCGTATGGCAGCTGTGAAGAAAGCTTCCTGCAGCATTTTACAGATGTTGAACTTCCTCAGCTATCTGAAGTACAGTCGCTGCCTGGCCTTCTTCAACTGTATGGAAATGTGAAAAGTCCATGTCAGGTCCTTGGACAGGTGAACACCAGGGTACATGTAGGTGGTGACATGTAGGGGTTCCATGGATCCCGAGAGGGATGTAGCAGGTCTACGTACAGTGCAGTGTGCAAACACAGTTGGGTCAAGTGTGTAATATGTGGCAAGTAGTTAATTGCTTAAACAGTTAAAGCAGTAATACAATAATACCGTAGATAAATAAAGTGAAATATACAGAATAAATAAAGAAATATACAACATTTCTTTAAGTGCAAGATGGCTGATGGTCGTGCAAGGAGCTGGATGTGCAGGGGGTGTGTGTTTTTGTGTATGAAGGTGGGTGGATGAGTTGTAGTCTGTAAAAGATGGGAAAAAAAGCTGCTTTTTGTAGTGAGAAGTTTTGGTCCAGGAGGACCGCAACCTCCTGCCAGGTGGGGGTGCAAAGGTGTGTGTTGGAGTTGGGGGCTTTAAAACTGAAGCTGGTGATTTGTCTGAGCCCTCTCCAAACAGAAGCAGAATCTTTAGCTGAGAACTGGTGTTGAAGTTTCTCAGACTACTGTCGTTTAGCTTTCCTCACCTCCTTGCTAAACCTGTACTTTGACTCCTTGTACTTCTCTTTGTCCCAACTCCCGAATGCCTCTTCCTTGAGGGGCAGTTGTGGCTTAGTGGTTAAGGAAGCAAACTGGGGCCTGGAAGGCTTCAGGTTCGAGTCCACCAGCTGCCAAGTTACCACTCAGGTGCTCTGAGCATGGCACTGTCCCCACACACTGGCCCCCTCGGGCCCTACACGCGCCATATCTGTCTTTAGGCGCAGG